GGGGGGGATTTTTTTAAGCAGCAATGTTCGTGCTTGGCCATCGACCGGCGTACCCTTGAGAATCCTGGAAGTGGCTGGGTGGTTTCACAGTGCTTGTCCATGGGAGTTGGATGATGATTTTCTTTTCCGTTGCTCGGGAAGAGCAAGACCGCCTAGATTCTTGGCTTGTTGCTTTAATGACCGAAACTAATCAACGCCTTTCTTGTTTTATTTGGCAGATGTTCCTCCGGCGGGATCTTAGAAACGATTGCACCAGTGGAGTTCACTGGTGACACCCCCTCAATCATGGGCCTCGACAATGCACACACACAATATGCATATCATGTCGACACTTTTCTGCTTGCGGAATCGGAAAACATTCACATGCTTTCGGCGGTATGTACGTTGACGCTGTGTGTGTGCTGTGGCCGCCCTCGTCCGTAGTCTCGAGCTACGGAAGGGCGCGCGGGAGGGACTCTCTCGAAGCCACCTTTCTCTGGTCTTTTGTAGACAATGTTTTCCCCTGCTCACCCCTCCCCCTTCTTCTGGGAGTTCCGGTGAATAATCCCGATGGGCATGTCGCCCTGCCATTGTCCGTGGGCATGCGAGCGAGTGAAGCTCGATGAGTACCGTTCAACAAAGGCTGTGTGGCCTCTCTGCGTGAATGACGCAGTGTCCGTGTAGCAATGACCACCAATGTTTTTTAGTTTGGCTTTTCTCCTTCCCTCATCATTACATCAATAAGGAAAGGGCTCGGGCTTTGGTGTATACTTTGGCCACCGACGTATTGAATTTGTTTTGAGTTTTTGTTCTTTCTCTTGAGCGCTTACGAACTGCGTTCGTTCATCATGAGGAGGACACGGACACCGGGAGGACGTGCCCGCCGGGCAACGGTTCGCCGAAATCGGACTTTGACATGCATTTATCTCCTCCTGGCGATGTGGTGCGCATTATTTTGTACGGTAGACTATTGAAAGTTGGGTGATGGATTTATTGAGGACAAAAGGCACGCTGCACATCATCAAGCTCTTGCACATACCGTCCGTGGATAGAGAAATTCATGTTGCAGAAAAAAATACAGCGGCTTCTCCTCTTAGCCATTCATGTTCTCACGCGTGCAAGCGCATCGATCGTGCTCAGGCAGGACAATAAAAATACAACTTGTACTTGCTTGCGGATCTTGCGCGTGCCTAGACGCGGGTGCCCCTTGGGGGACCTGCATGGCCATCGATCATCGCGCCAGCATTTTAGCACACTTACGTGCATAAAACACACGTTGAAAAGCTGCAGCGAGCGGCAGAACTCGCAAAAATGCTCATGTACCGCCGCAAAGTGTTTGGAAACCTTCGTTTCGCCAGAAGGTAATAGCGCCCTTGTTCACAATAACCATTGTTGCCAGTATTAGCAGCATATATATATGCGAAACCACGCCAATGTTGTTGTTGCTATCTTCACATTCAAACCCGTTCAGGTAACTGCGCGCACCTTGTAACTTTCCTACCGGTCCAACTAACGCGGACCCCTCCTCCCTTCCCAGGAAAGTACTGTAGACTAACCATGTAAGCATATGAAGAAATAAACAACGCCAACGAGGAAATAAATAGTTCATGTCACGATGCAAGCGTGCGAACAAGAAAAACAATCAAACATAACTACACCGCAACAAAAACAATCATTTCGGCCTCTCGAATGAACGGCCAATATACATGAACTTCGAATATCTACGGCAGCGTGGCAAGTAAGTGTGATCCTGCGCTTGCACGGCTTACAGACGTCCACCACGCAAAGCAAATCAAGCCACATGGACGGACACGTACCACACGTTCCAGGAAACCAAGAACACTCAAAACATCTTATAGTCTAATACGACTCATTCTTCTGCTGCTGCCTCTTCCGTGGCTGGCTCGCTGTATTTGTACAGGGCATGCCATGCGACAAGCACGCCGTCTCACCTCAACCCCGACGCGGTCCCAATCAACACTCGAAGCAAACAACGAAAACGCCATCTAAAGCCGCGGTGCGTTATACCCATTGTAACTTGTACTTGACCGCAACATTCTAACGAATGCCCATCGCACAGCGAGGGTATTGCCGTGATGGTGCAGAGATCCAAAGGCAACACCTGCGTGAATGCACGCTCACACGAACCCCCCCGACGAACGGCGAATTAATCTAAAGAGAGCAAGCACTATTGCTGTAGCGCGGGGCGCCTACCATGGCCGGTGGCATACGAATTCGCATCATACACCGCAAGCACATGAACGAGCTGCTGGGAGGACGAAATGATCCGACCCAGCTGCTCCTCGGCTGCGTGCCGCAGCACAGCAGCAGCAGTAGGAGTAGTAGCAAATAGCACGCGGTGTTTCCTCGTGGCTGTCGCAAAACCCAGCCCGGACGGAGCACCACCCGCACAAAGCTAAGGCTTCGACACAACACACTCAAGACGCGGGCAAGTCGACACCGTACCGTTGTCTCTAACCCGGCGCAAGGCCTCTGTTGTCACCCAACAAGTTGCCGCCGCCACGAGAAATTAGTCGCACACACACAAAAACACAAAGAAAAAACACAGGCAGTCCCCAAGTATTCGCGTGTTGGGGAGCACCATTGTGTTTAATACAAGAGGAAAAGAGGCGATCTCGCCTTGACGTTTCCCGAAAAGGGACAACAACGACACCATCGCGGCACATGCATCACCACCATCAGTGACCCCCGCGCACGTGTATACCACACGCCGTCACCCCCTGGCTTATCTATTACCAAACATTGTAACCACCGGGATGGAAACACACGCCTGCCCCCGTCCCCCCACAGGTCACGGAGGCCTTCCGCTACCCTCCCCCCCCTTGAATGCCTTCGTCCATCGAACCTGAACCCCGACGGGGCTAACGGCTGCGGCTGCTGCTGCATCCGAAACCGCAGCATCGACGACGGCACAACATTGTCCTGTCTTCCTTCCTTCTCCGGCAAAAAGACGACGCTGTTGTATCTGCCTACACGATTGTACCGTATGATTCATACTTTGACGGCGAAATAACTTCGTTGTCCAAGTCGCAACAGCGCTCCTTGGATGACGATGCGATGGCGGGGGACGCGGCGGCCTCGTCCATCGCCGTGCGTGGTTCGATTTTCACTGCACAAGCGCGTGAGGGAATATCCGGGCAGGGGAAGGAAGGGTAGGGTCGATTGATTCATCGCGTTCAGAGAAAAAGGAAAAAAAAACACGCGTCTACTCCGTTCGTGCCGTGGGAAGTTCTGCATGCAAATAAATACTCCCAGGAAGCACCGCTTCTCAGGAACTACTACTGTGCGTCATCTTTTAGTTTCCCGGTGCTGGCGAGGATGTCCCTAGCTTAGCGTCCTTGAAGCGCGGATATCTGCCACCCCCGTGTGTACATACCCGCAACTCTCCTTGGCGAGGCTCGCTTACCCCCATCGCCTTCTGCAGCTGCTGGTGTACGGCGATACCGTCGAACATAATCTCCAGCTCGTCAAGCTTTCCCCCCTCCACGAAGGTCGCCCGGAGCATCCCGTTCTTCTCTACCTCTAGCGGCGACCCGAAATCGCTGAACGCGGGGGGGTGGGTGGGGGGAGGGCGCACGCCACGTGCCCGGCGTTTCATCTATGCGCTGAGCGGAGTGGGGGGATGGGGGCACGCGCCACATTCACTACATGTGATGGCGAGCGAATGCGCGCGCGCGGGGTGGGGAGCGCGCCACACAAACGGCATGTTGCTACTTACAGCGTTGATCGGCGGTGTATGCTACAAGGAAGTAGGGCTGAGAAAGATGTGTTTATCCCCAGCGCCGATTCAGAACCAAACCTGAGAGCCATGTCGCTTCGACGAAAAATCTTGTTGCGCACACTCTTTCAATCGTGCGACAAAGCAACGGAAACAGTTCTCCGACGACCTTCATCGTTTGGTCCAATATTTTCGAATACCCCCCTCCAACATACATGGCCGAATGAACGTCGCCACATGACAAAAAAAAAAAAGACTTGTACCCTCTCTCGCCCCCCCACCATCTCACCACGCGTCCACCGTCGTCATGCTGAAGACACACATGATTCCTCGGTCAGACGAGAATACCATGTCTCCATTGCTCACGCAAGACTTGAGGTGCACCCTAGGACGGGGGGGCTGGTTGTCATCGCCGCCGCCACTCGCCGCCGCCGGCGCCGCCGGTGGACTGAGACCTCCCTTTTGGCGGCAACGCTCCGCCAGGTTTTCGCACATTTCCTGGGGGCAACAGGGACCGGGGAAGGGGGGGGTCGTTTCTTGCCTGCTGTAGGCAGTACGGCCACGGAAGTGTGTTTTGGGCTAACTGCTGTCAGAGGTCACTCAGAGGCATCGCAAACTGGCGTTCTCGACTAACTTTCTGGGTGTGCGTGAATCGTTTTTACACAATGAGGAGCAGGAGCAGGAGTAGGGTACTAATCTAGGTAGGGTAGTAATAAAGTAGTAGCAGGAGGGGTGTGCGGAAACCAGAACTACAGTAGGACCGGAGAGAGAGGAAGTACGTCACGTCAAAGATGTATCTCACCGTCAAGGAGGCCGTGTCGGAGATCATGCCCTCCACACCCACAAGCACTCGGCGGCGCCCCCCCTCCACGTCGGCGGGGTCAAACTTCCGGTACGGCGTGAGAGGGAGAGACAGCTCGAAGTCCTCCGTCAGCACCTGTCGTACACAAAGAGTGGTGGGTACGGTGGGGGGGGGGAATGTGTCGGGTCCATCGGAGAATGGACCTGGCGTGTTGGGGGCGGAGAGAGGAAGAGGAGGGAAGGGACGATACATGTAGTTGTTACTGCGATGACCGTAAAAAAGAGCAGGGTACAGCCTCCTTCACCCGTGTCACCAAATCCCGGTCAACCAACGCTTCAACTCATGTAGCTTTTTCCGCGTCCAACGCGCAGTCGTACGGCGCGAGCAAGTTGCGGATCGGCAAGTAATCTAGGTGCGCGTCGTCATTTTTTAAGCCACCAAGCCCCCTCGTTTGGTGCCGTGTTGTTCATTATTGGTGTTGTTGGTAACTTTGGCATGGCGCAACATACACAAGAGACTACATAACGGAGAGGAAAAGAAACAATCAAACGGATAAGAAATATCCGGCTCGTACAAAGGCGCGTTGATTCCAACCACAGAACCACCCACAGGAGTAGGTAACATTGGGCAGTGTCAACACCCAAAATAATCCCAAACAACCATAGTCTTAAAATCTCCAACACTTGTCTTGTCTTGTGTGACCCAATCTACCAAGTCCCCACCACTTGCTGCTGCGATCGAGTCTCTAAACAGTGGTCGGTTCGAGGATGCCACTATCTGCGTAGAGCGACCCAGTGTCGAACAAGGGCGCTGTGCGTAGTGATGCGCACAGCGTAGCAAATGCGCTCGAAGCATCATCTCTCCTCGAAGGACGTTGATGTTTACGTTCGCCACAGCACTTAACACGAACACAAGCACAAAAAAAGAACTCGATCTCGATGGACTTTATCTAATCTTCCCTTCCTTTCTCTTCTTCTGCCGGCGTGCATACGCATGCACGCGTACCACCCTCACCTCATTCCATACCGCCGGGTCCACGACGCCTTGGCAGCGAAGGTCCAACACGTTCTTAAGCGTAGCGGCCCAACGCGCTATCTTCTCTTCGTCCTCTCTCGCCGCTGCCTCCTTGTTGTGTTCCGCAGCCGCCTAGGAGGGTTGCGGGGGTGGCGGCGGTAACATTCGTCGCAACTTCATCCCAAAAAAGTGGAAACGACCACTGCCTATGAACAACTAACTCGGTCACAGTCGTCAGCGTTGTTGAGGACACACAGACGGGCGGTTGAGTGCGGGCCACAGGGCTAAACTAGAGTTGAACGTTTTCGAGGCGGAGCGCGCGCGTCGGGCGCCAGGCACGGACAAGAAGTACTTTCTGCGCGTGCCCCGATAGGTTTGTCCAAAGCCGACCCGCTGGCGATTGTGTGCTGACATATGACGCAAACGACTTCTTTCAATATAGCGCTTGCGAGACAAACTTGTTCACAAAAATCAAACAACTGCTTTGTTCAAACGAACACCACGGCCGGCTGAACCGAACCAATTGGAGTTAGTTCCTTTGGAACGTTCTTTGGAATGTTCCTGGGGTATACAAGGCAGCGTCTCACGGGGGCTTTGGGTTCTAAGAACATGAACCGAGACGGAGGAGAAACGCGCGTTTGTCAACTCAGACCAGGTGGTCGTAGCGATGACGTTGAGCAAACATCGCAGCGTGCGAGCTGAGGGCTCCCATGTTCCTGCTTTTCAACTCGACACGCCGTCCGCTCTCGCAGCCTGTCTATTGTCTCTTGTGTGTCTCCGTCTGTGTTTCCATCGCTCTCTTCCAAGAGTTTTCTCTCCGTTATGTTTCTCTAGAGTCTCCATGACGACCCATCTATATCGCATCTACTGTTATCCCTCTCCTTACCTCTTTCTCTCTTGTCTCTCTAAACCGCCTGTTATCCTCAACTCCCTTTGGCTCCCACCCGCTTCTCTACGTCTCCCTCCCTCCCTCCCTGATACCTCTCTTCCACATCTCCGCGCTATTAGCTGCCTATTCCTCTCCTCTGTCGCTCGTTTCCTGGGCTCGACTCACCCGTTTGGCGTGCAAACTCTCCACTTTGTCCTTGAGTTCCTCCATGTATTGCTTCTTACGGGCGCGCGTGTTCCTGGCATGGGTACCGGAAGTGATATTCGTCATGATCACCGCCGAGAGAGACGAAAGTCACAGCCGTACGAGATAGAGATGGAGATAGAGACAGTGTGTGTGAGAGCGAGCGAGCGAGAGACACACAGAAATACGTAAGAGAGAGATACATACAGAAAGAGGTTGTCGAGGTGACACACCAAAAGCGGTATTGTCGGCAGAGAAGGAAGAGGGGCACGTGTTGCCATGGTCGTCATGGTCACCATACCGAAAGCTCCAAAAGACTGGCGTCTCTTCATTGGCCGGCCGGTAGGGTACCGAGTTTCGACACAAAATCGGACACAAAGACACACCCACACGAGCAAACCCCCCACCTGGCGTGAAGGCGATTGCGCTCCTTTGCCATCTCCGTCTTGCGCTTGCAGTCGTTGCTAACCGAGTCCTCGCCGCTGTCCCCGGACACGGTGGGTATAATCTGGTGCGGCGCTACGGTCGCGCCCGCGACTCCCCCCGGCGGGACCCCCGCCCCGCCCGCAGCCATTAGCCCCTGGAAGCCGGTGATAGGTTCCATGGCGCCTCTTCGGTGGGATCGATGTCCTCTCACTGGCGGGTGGTTGAAGTTGAAGCGGTGGAAGTTTGTCCTGCGTGTGTTGGTCCTTCGCTCACAATGTATAGAACCATGAAGGTGAAACGTGGTCAAAGCGCAATGCAGGCATGTACCGCAGAATATCCAACGCTGCTTTGTGGAGCGCTAATATTTTTATTTTGCTGGTGCATTCAGCGAACAAACATATACACTTGGGATTGAGAATACCGAATGTTGAGGCACAAGCTGTGAAACAACTTACTGTATTGTAGCATGTGCGAGGCTGGGCTTTTTCTTTTTGACGCACAACGAGGTCATGTCTATCCACAGAAACATTTTCCTGTCAAGATATTCCCAACAGCTACAACTAGGTTTCAGTGTAGGAATATTAATCTTAACTGAGCACCCTAGCACCTGTTCTGAATAGGCCAATCATATTTACTCCATGTTTCATTAGTTGCAGCGAATGTACGAAATGTGTGGTAGGGTGAAAAAGCGGCTTCATAGTGCTCTCTCGCTCTTCCACACACTGGCATGGCAGTGGTAGGAAAGTTATGCCCCTCCTGCTATGGTTAGACCGGGCAGTTTCGCATTCTGGTGTTTGGGAAAAGAAATACGAACACAGAAAGACCCGTTCTTGTTGTACGTAAGTGCCGTTATTGTTACTGCTGTTGCGTGTTGTTCATGGGGCAACAACCGGAGTCGGGGGGGAAAACCGAACCACTTGATAGCAGGACGGACGTTGTGGCTTGGCGTCGTGCTACAGCAGTAGATGTGGACAATGGAGAACCCTGTGTTCTACCGACGCATATTCGCACGTTCTGACAGGGGATCTATTGGTCTGAAGATCTTTCTTGCTCGAAAGAGAGCCAGCGGAGCCAGCAGGCTGTTCAACACGTCCAGTCCGGCCCTGTCATCTGCGCATAATGATACTTCAACTCAACTTTATCCACGACCAAACTTGGAGCTTTGACGCACGCCGATTCAAATCGGGTCTCACGGTACGCCAGAGCGTTGCCGATAACGCCCGGTCCGACCATCGTGTGGCCCCGGGGCGTGTGTGTGTCCCTTACCTCTTGCCTAGCAGGGTGCCTCGAGAAGGTTAGATTCTCAGAAGAAGCAGTGTTCGTTGCCTCCAAAGTTTTCGGTACTTTACCTATCAGGTACCAGGTATTTGTGTACCTCATGTCCAACACAAACCACCCACGAAAGGGAGGTAGGAAGAGGGAGAGAGAGAAAGAGAAATGGAGACCTGCGACTGTTCGCCATACGCTGGATGCTGGTGCGGGGGAGATGAGGGCGAGACGCGAGACCCAACTTGAATGTTGATGAAGTTTTGCAGCTGCCACAGAGGATTGCGTGTAAGGTGCCGGCAAATGGGAATCGATGGACTCAAACGGTGTCAGCACAGGCAGTGGAATAGGACGCTCATGGGCTTGCTAACTCACCTTCCTTCACACACTCCACGCGGTTTGGTTCAGATAGCAAGAGTCTTCGCGTGGTGTGTCCTGTCGCGGTGTGTGGCTCCCTTCCCGCGGATCGCGGCGGGGGGTTTCGGGGATCACTCAACTGTCCCGCCTGAACCACCTAGTGGCGCGAGCACACGGAGCTCCCCTCTCCCGTCGTCTCCAAGGCTTCGGCTTCACGAGCCTGATGGGCACAACCACAGCATCACACACAGCAGCGGGGCCAGCATGGGAGATGACGTGTGGTGTTGCGTTTTCTCCTGCGACCATCCGACGAAGAAGAGAAAGCGGTACGCTGGTCGCTTGAATGCCCGCACCGTATGATGCGTCTGCCCTCAAATATCAGTAGATTGTGTGATGGTTCCCAATCGCAACATTTTGAATTTTGAATTTTCGTGAGCCAGTTTTGAATCCACAGCAACCATGCAGACTGCTGTACAGCAAGTTGGCATACTTGTCTTGCCGAAAAAGGGTAGACAAGTCATGAGAAAAAATACACAATGTACATGCAGTCTGTCGTTGGCACGTTCGCGTTCTGCTGCAACGCCTGGCTCGCCTTGCAAATAATGGAAAGCTCCCGTCCGTACGTAATACGTAGCCAGCCCTGTACGAGTCTATCCAGATGACGAACCTACTTCGCAGTTTAGAGTCTACACGTAGTAGGGGTATTCAGGGGTAGGGTGCCACAACTTGGTAGCCTACGGCAAGGCTATTTCATAGCACTTGTCGGAGAGACAACAAGGCAGCGATATGTATCGCCTCACAGTTTTGGCCACAGGTCTGCGGCAAAAACGCCACACCGTGTCTAGCTCGGCAACACTCCCGCACCGTCCACGAAGATCTGATCGACCTCTCCTTCCCGTCGCCACCGTTTTCCCTTCCCGCCCCCCCTGTCTCCTCCGTCGTCGCCGTGCCCGCAGCTGGACCGACGGTACCCTCGTATACCACCGCGGCAGCAACAAGCTGCAGCTCCGCAACGACTCCAACACCCAGACCCTCGCTTCTGGAAAGGCAGAGAGCGGTGGCGGCGGTGGAGCGGGTTGCGGTACCCCGTTGCCGCAGCAGCTGCGCGAGGGCGAGGAAGTTCGAGTCGGCCGGTACGCCGTCCAAGTCGGAGAAACCAGGAGCAGCAGTGGCAGCGGTGGCGGTGACGGTAGCAGCGAGGCGGTGGTGGCGACTGTTGGCGCCGCCACTGCCGCCACCGGGGTCACGCAGATGGGACAACACATCCAACTTCAAAAGCCCATAACTGCTGGTGCTGGTGCTGGTGCTGGTGCTGGTGCTGGTGCTGGTGCTGCTGCCAGTATGGGGATGCCGATGGCCCGGAGGGGAAAGTTCAAGGCGCCCGCAAGACTGGATGGGGGACACCCGAAGAAAGCAGGACACGTTTCGCAGCCGAGGGAGCAGGAGCAGGGGCAGCGGCAGGGCCAGAAGAAGCATCACCAGGAGAAGAAGCATGGGGAATTTCGTCGTCATCTTCGACCGCTGCAACCATCGTCATCGTCGACTTGCTTGTCATCTTCGACGCTGTCCCCGGCGGCTCCTCATGAGCAGCCGCAGCAGCCGCCGCCGCTGCCACCGCCGCCGCCGCCGCAACAGCAGCAGCAGCAGCAGCAACCGCCACCAGCAATCGATGGCATTGGCAACAACGGGGTAACTTCCGGAGCCCCGCCGCTGCTGCCGCCGCCGCAGGTGCTGCCGCCTGCGAAACGGAAAGCGTTCCTCGCCCCATCCAAGACAACGCCCTACCAGCAGTCAACAACGCCACCGGCTGTGCCATTACTACAGTCCGACCCTCTTCTCCCATTGAAACGATGCGGCCTAGCCCGCCGCAGCCTACCGCTGGGCACGGAAGCAGCGCCCGCCGCTGCTGGTGGCGTCGCGACCAAAACCAAGGTGCGCCCGCCGCCACCGCCGCCGCTGCCTGCCGCCCCTCGAAGATTGCACAGCGCGAAGGACAACACCGACAGCCCCGTCATGCTCATGCCGCGTTTCAAGCTAACGTTCGGCGGCGGTGGTGCGGGGAGCGGGGCAAGGAAAGAGTCGTCGGGGCGGCACCTGTTGGCTACGCCCGTCCACCAGCAGCAGCAGCAGCAGCAGCAGCAGGAGAGTGTAGTTGCCCCTCGTTTGGCGTCGAATGGAGGAGGATCGGGCGGAGGTGTCTGGCCGACGAGGACGACATGGGTACCGAACGGCTTCGCGGACGAGGCGGCTTACCGCCGTGTCTTTTCTCGCGCCATGCAGGTGGTGTGTGTCAAGGCGGTTGCTTTGACCCTCTCGCCTTGATTCCGGTCTTGGCGAGAAAATGGTGTACGGTGGTAGTTCGTTACATGAATCGACCCTGGCGCTATCCGCAGTTCGTGAAGATAACAACGGTGGTGCCTGTGTTAAGACCGCGATAACAAGGCCGGTCGCCCTGTAGAGGGCCAGTGAGATTGCCTGGCGTCCAGGGTCGTGCCGGACTGACTGACTGTTGGCGTTTTGTCACACTGCCGTGCTGTCGCCCCCGTTTCCTGCCATCTTCGCTGACAAAAATCGAACCACGAACCACCAATCCCCCCCCCCCGATCGAAAAGGACGACTTGGACGTGTACACTCTACACTGTACACACCGTCCCTGACGTAACAACGTTTTAGAACAGCACACATGGCATCACATAAGGAGAATCCGTTCGATGCAGTTATCAGAGGGGTGTGGGGATGAAGTCTACTGTAGTCTTCATAGTGTGGACGGAGGAAAGCATTGAGCACTGGACTTAGTTGAGGCTCCTTTAGTCCCTGTTCACTAAGAAATATGAAATATAGTGAACAACAAGCCCCCCTTCCCTTTTCCTATGAATTATTTGCGTTGACGAAAATAAGGAGGAGATGCAACTGATGCTCGACGAGGCCGTGGTGACGCGCTTTGAGAGAGCCAAGGCAAACCTCGCAACCATCGCGAGTTCCGGTTTCGGTTCCGGTTCCGGTTCCGGTTCCGGTTCCGGTTCCAGTTGCGGCAGGGGCGGGGCGCTAGTTGGTCTAATGGACCGACGGGACCCTCTCTGGCGGCAGAAACTGTTCCGCCGGGAAGGCATCCCGTACTACTCCAGCGTTTCTTTGTTTCGGGCTGGTGAGAGACTGCAAGGAGGTTGTACGCGTTTTGGGGGAGGGGGGGTCTGTGAGAAGTGATAACCTTGGTTTGCACGGATAGCGGCAACCGGCAAACGATTTGCGGGAGAGTCATGTGGTATGAAGCTAGCATTTAGGCGCAAGGCGGGATAAGGAAGGCATCCTGCGGAAGGCGGGCGACAAGACGAGCCCTGTGGCAATTAATTGCGTCAATTACTTGTAGGAGTTGCTATGATTGATCTATCTCTCACAACAACAACAACGAGGGGCCCCACAAGTGGCAGGATCGTAGGTGGTGGTCATGTTGTCTGGCTTACTGCGCTCCGTGAGAAGACCATTGACGGATACGCCTCTCCCTCCTCTTCCCCCCCTCTCCCTCCTCCTCACGTCTCCCGCCTGCTTGCTAGGCGGTGGCGGCGGCGGCGGCGGGAGCAGTAGCAGTGGATGGGGCAACGAGTCGGGAGGGAAGCGTCGACGGCAATGGCGGGGGCGACGGGGGAGCGACGACAACGACGATGACGAAGAGGGCAACAGCAACAGCAGCAGTAGCGGCAATACCAGCGGGAAGCTATATCTCAAGGTTCGCTGGCCTTCGCTGCGGACACCATTTTCGCTCGCACCTTTTCGGGGAATATCTTCCCTGACGTTTCCTCTTGTCTCATAAATAGTGCCATATTCGCACTTCGTTGTGCAACGTGGAGCTTTTTGCTCCCCCCCCCCCCCCCCCCCCCCCCCCCCCCCCCCCCCC